TGATTCAGAAAAATCTGGGATGTTGTGAAAAATGTAAATTAAAAAAAATGAATTCAAAAATTTGCAAATCTCAGAAACCCATATTTTATTCACACTGGAAAACAGTAAACATATCCAATGTCGAAACTACAAAGTGCCATTTAAAATAAATGCTATCTGTAAACACCGAGCTGAGAAAAACAGTTGTTTCATTCCTGTCTAATGTAGGATTCACAATGCGCCAAATGTTTTCATTTGCACTTTGACAACAAATCCATGTTGCTGAAATGGCTGCAGTTTGTGGTTTAGCTCTGCTGAAATTCGCAAAGTCTTCCCTGTAAAAAGGCCTCATCTGGAGCACGTTGTTCTACTTTTCTGCACGACAGTGCTTTTTCACATGTATAAGCTGCTCATGTCAGATGCCCTAATGCACCCCCATACCATCAGAGAGGTAGGCTTTTTAACTGTGTGCACTGATAAGAGGGTGAATGGTCCCTTTCTAGCACAAAGAGCATGAGGTCTGTGGTTTTGATGATAAACAAACATTCAATGCCTTCCTAATTTTGTGTTAAGGAACTTTTATTTTTAGATGCTGTTTTCCTCAGACTGATGAACCTCTTTCTATCTTTACTTCTGAGAGATTCAGCCTCTCTAAAATGCTCTTTTTATACCAGTCCTCTTTAGGGTGCATTCCCACCAGCCCTGTTTAGTCCACTTTAATAAAACTCTAGTTTGTTTGCCTAGAAGTTCGTTTCATTTTGGGATGTGTGGACGTTTAATCGAACTCTGATATGGACCAAAATAGTGAACTCTGCTCCGCCTACAAACCAAGGTGTCGGCTCGGTTGAAGTGAACTCTGGCGCAGGTCGAATGCATGTATGCCAAGCGGACAGGGCATTTCGTGTAATAACAGTGATAAAGTTACTCATACCTCACTTGATGATAAGGTGGACATCAGTGCTATGAATCTGGATGCGAGTCACTCCATATTTGTTTTTGGTTCGCGAAGAAGGAAGTTGTCTTGTAAACAGGTTGTTCAAAGATTTGGTTCTTTTGACTCAGTGTGGTGTGAAAGTGAACCTTAACAGCTGAAAATGTAATAAATGTTGCAATTTTGGCCCCCAATTTAACCAAGTCCACCGGACTATGGGTAAACATTTACCATTTAGCTCAGTTTGGTGCAACGTGGTCCTCCATGCACTGTAAAAAATAAAATGTTGGATTTACTTAATCATGTTATGTTACCTGGTTCCACTTAACTGAGTTGAGTTAATTCAAAGCAACATACCAGTTTTTTTAACCAAAGAACATGAGTATATTGCTTTGAATTTACTCAACTCAGTTAAGTGGAACCAGGTAACGTAACATGATTAAGTAAATCCAACATTTTATTTTTAGAGTGTGGTTATGTTGCCCTGTCCCAACTTTTTTAAGTGTTACAAAATTATCTTTTTTTTTAATGTATGATTCATAGTTTAAACATCTGATATGTTCCATTGTGAGTAAAATATGAGTACAAAAGTTTTGCCAATTTTGTTTGTAATTTACATTTTACTCAACATTTACAGTTTTTTCAGATTTGGGATTTGTGTGACTTTAAGAAAACATGCTGCTGCATGAAAAAAAAAATCTTGCATAATACCATCAACAATTTTTTTTGTAAATTTGTGGCATTTAACAAAACAGCTTTTGTACATATGTTTAACTATGCAAGTCCTCCCAGACAGTTGTATTTTTTTATTTGATTGTTTTGTTGCGACTTGTCTCCAGTTGTCCAACCTTGACCTTCATCCTGGATTTGCAGGAGTATGTTTGAACAACCTAATCAGTGAGTAATGGGGAGATTACATGATTCACTCATCCCAGGCTTTTCATTCGTCTTTACTTACAAAGGTCTGTCAAGACTTTTCATTTATGACTCACTAACCCATCATTCGCATCTGTAGAAAGGTTGGTTTGTGGAGCGTGGGCGAAATGAGAATGTCATCATTTTAGTGCCATCTGCTGCTTTTGGCAGATCTGGTTTTGTGTTTTTTTTTTAAACTTTTTATAGAACTTCTTTCCTGTTCAGTACTGAAAAATAAAAAAAGAACAAAAACTGGGCCTGTTTTCATTAATGAGAAAATTGCTCCAACTAAGTTTTAAAAATAAAGTTTTATTCTTCATTGATGTAGTGCATCTTTTGAGTTGTAATTTATTAGAAAAAACAATAACCATGTAACACAGTTATCCAACTTTTTTTTGATTTAAACTTTCAGTCTGGACAAACAACATATCGTGAGAAAAAAAAAGCCTCTTTTAATGTTGGTGCGTCACTGGACAAATGTTTGTCGTATAAAAGAATGCCAAAAATCTCCAACATGAAACAATAAGAAGCGTGACTGATAGCAAATTTCACAGGTGTCAGATAATTGTAGCATATCTTTAGATTTCTTTCATGAGAACTTTGAGCCTCGTTTTGTGAGACTACCCTCCCCCCATGTAGTCAGCATACAATATGTGGAGAAAACACCATGTCCTTAGAGAGGGGTGTGTATAATTGTTATCACGTTTAGATCCCAGTGCAAAACATCAGGAAGAAGAGGTTTAGGGAGACCAAACTCTTGGCAAGCCACATCCTTCTGGTTGCAATTTACTGGGCTCATCAGTGAGACAAAACACATCCATGGCCTCCACCTCAGCAAATGTGAACATGTCTGCAACCGAGGTGAAAAACCATCCCAGACGGTGACAAAAAAGTTGTCACCAAGCTTGAAAAAAACAAAATCTTTCTTTGACTTTTTACTTTGCTCTAATGGGAAAAACACAGATTGAAAAGGTACTATACATTGAAATAGTTTTTGTATTATCGCATTAAGTTATGTTAAACGTGCCTGTAGACATTAAAATGTAAATGTAAGAACCCTCCTCCATGAGATTAATACCAGCTTAATCCCATAAGAGTCATGTTCCACAGGATCTTGCAAGAATTGAAATCAGATATAATGAAGCACTCCTCTGATCATGAATGAGAAAAGAACTTGTGATCTTGTCAGATTTCTCA